GAAAAATTGTTCAATATTATAAATTTATATAATTATAACAACTTTTTTTAAAAATTAAAACTAGTGTTATGTAATTTGATTCAAATAATTCTTTAATTTTTGAAAGAAGAAACAAATCCTTAAAAAATTGCCTTACTAACCTAACACATCTATTTATAGCTGTATATAAAAATATCTTGTTTAAAATTTCATAATTAGTTAATTTACAAAGAAATATTAAAAAATAATCTGAGACAATGCTGAAATAATATAAAATTGTTTTAAAGAAAAGTATTTAATGAAATTGGAATTATGTAAATTTCGTGATCTTGGATAATTTTGGCCAAATTTGTAATTCTGGCCGAAATTAACATCACGTGACACTGGGAAAATAGTTTAGCCACCGGGCAAAAAATTTTTTATCGGCTGGCATGAAAATTTAATGTTACACAATTTGTAATTTTGGCCGGCGTTATGAATTCTGGCCAGAATTATTGCCGATCATTTGTAAATCCGATCCGGTTTCTGGTTTCTATCCGGATTATCTGATCCGGATTCAAAATCTGGGTCAATCCAGATATAATCCAGATTTTTTTTTTGTGTAATCCAGATGACGGTTTTCATCCGGATCGAAGCACTATGTGGTTGTTACATCTGAATATAAAATAATTGATAATAATTTGAAACCAGTAGGTAAGGATTCTTGCGTAGTCTTCCACCATTTTCCAGTGTTTTGCTCATCGTAAATACTTTCTTCATTATATTATAAAATAATATAAATAAATTAAAATAAATATTATTTAAATTATTGGATTAAATAATATTTGCCATTTATCTCAAAGTTTTCGTAAGATAGCGCAAAATTTTGTATTATGTCAGGAATAGCTAAAATATTTTTGATGCACTGTATTAAATTTTGATAATAAAGAAAATAATCTTTATTCTTATGTTTTGTTATGAGGACTTTACTAAATTCTAAATTAAAAAACTTCATGTTATTTATAAATGCTTGTCCCTGTTCAATATTTTTTGGTAATGGTGATACTGTAAGATTTGAATGTTTATTAAAAAATCGTATTATTTCATTACCACCTTTATTGTTTATTTTGTATTTCGTTACTAATAACATTAGATCTTTATAAGCATCATTAGGAAATTCTGTGCAAGTTTTGGAATTAGGATTTTCAGATTCTTCAAAAATTTCAGGCTCTTCAGAAGAATCTAATATATTTTCAAAGTTATCTTCAAGGCTCATCACTGATATTGCACTTCCAATACTGTCAAAAGACATGTTTTGTGCATCATTATCATCATCCACCTAAAATTATAAGTTAAATGAGTTAGTATATCTGAGCTTTTTCTTAAAAGCTCCAAAAAGAATAATCTGAAATACATAATTACTTCAACTTTATCATTTTCATATTCACTACTTTGTTTACTTCTTGTATCCATTTCACTGTTATATTTTTCACTATTGTCGACATTATCATCTTCTACTTCTACATTTTTTAAGTATTTCTGGGCGTGTTGAGTATATGCAAAGCGTTGACTGAATATTCAGGGCATTTAAAACTCATGTTGCTAATTAACGCGTCAAATTTGATGAAAGCATTGATTCACTATTCAAATTATATGAGATTTCGTATGCTAACAAAATTTTGAGTAGATATGACTACGTATTAACTAATGGCTGTAAAAATCCGGGTGGCTAATACGGCTTATTCAATCGGCTAATCATCCACAAATTTATGCATTAATGAGCTGTAAGAATCTGGGTGGCTAATATCCACAAATTTACGCATTACACTATTCCGAGAATGTTATAATTTTATCTTATTTTGAGCTATACCAAATATTTCTGAGTTCTTTAAAATTTGCTAAGTGTTCTGTATATTATGAAATCAGCTGTAATGGGCTGTAAGAATTCGGGTGGATAATACGGCTTATTCAATCGGCTAATCATCTGAATTTCATCACTAATTTAGACAGATAACCAGTATAAATTTATGCGATAATCAGTTATAAGCGCTATTAATCTGATTAGCCAATTGGCTTTGGCAGTTTACTGGCTGCAACTTTTTTTTTGCCATGCATAAAAGTCCCAATATGTGTAACATGTTATTTTTTTATAAATGGGTGTTGATTAATACTTCAATTGTACTATATGCTTTTACGAGAGTTTTTTTAAAAATTCTCTCATGAAAGTGTTACAATTTTTTTTTCGTAATATCACAATGCAAAATTTTTGCATTAGTTCATTCATTTTTCGTAATATTTCGCATTAGTTCATCTATTTTTCGCAATATTTCGCAAGTTTTTTTTCTTTTTTAGTATAGAATGGCGGAAATAACGTTATAACAGCTTGCCTCCTTTTTTTGAACCTCTGGTTCATGTATTCCCCTTTTTTGTATTTTTAGTTCCTCATTTTCAAATTTCTGGTCCATGTCTTTCCCTTTTTTCTTATATATTCTCTTTTCGTATTTCTAGTTTCTCTTCAAATTTCTAGTAATATCTCTTTCTCCTTTTCGAGTTTAGTTCATATCTCCTTTCTCACATATTATCCCGATGGCTACAAAATATGGCAAAAAATGAAATATTAATGATAATGAAAGAATCTCAAAACGTAATACTGAGAAGAGTAGTAAAGTCGAGAAATGAATAAGATTATCAGACGATAACGTCGAAGGTATATATGACATGATATGTATCATATTCTTTATAAGAAATTATATAATATATAGTTAAGAGACAGATCGTCATTCAATCGGAGAAAATGATCAACATTCTATAATTAATTTTACGGGCTTTGTAATTAATAAAAAAAAATTTTTTGGAATTTCTTGTTCTTTACTATAATTTTTTTTCCAATAAGTGAAAAAAAACAGTATACAATAACTTTTATGTCCAAAAAAAATATTTCATAAACTTGCAC